TCCTCTGTACTGACCACTCCCCACTGTTGTGGCTAAGGACTATGAAGGCCAACAACAGTAAACTGATGAGGTGGGCTTTGATCTTGCAGGACTTCGACTTTGAGGTTCGAGTGGTCAAAAGGACTCAGAACTGTGCTGCAGATGCCCTCTCTAGACAACCCGACGACTGAAGATGGAAAAGAAAAATTTGCACTCTAAGAATGGTTTAAAGTGTTTATAAGTGGCATAATGGTGATTACTGTAAAGTTAATAAATTTAATGAAAATTAATTATAAAATATAAAGTGATAAGGTAAAGTATATTGTTGGAATTAATAAAAATGCTTAGAGTATAAGGAATATTAATTGTTTAAAGTTTTTAAAGTAATAAGAAGGAAAAGTGTTATATTGTATGACTTTTTCTGCTATTGAACTGTTAAACATTTTGGGTACATGTGTGTGTAATGTTGGGGGAATGTAATTTTTGTATATTGCTCCTCGTTGTTTTTGGAGAAAAGCACTTTAGCTTTCCCCCACAAAAACAACTTATTAAGGGGGGAGGTATTGTAACGGGCAGACATAACATCACATGTCCGTCACAGCTGGGCAGTGAGTCATCAGCCTATGGTGTGATGGAGGGTGGAACTTAAGGGGAGGAGCTAGTATAAAAAGGGGGGTGAAGAGTGTGTGAGGGAGATTGGAGATGAGAGTTTGAGCTGAGAGTTTAAAGTGATTAGTAGTTAGAGTGAGTGAGTGAGCCTGTCAGTGGAGAAATAGTCTGTGTGAGCCAGTGTTTATTAACAGTGATTGACTAATTGATTCTTTACCAGTGATTTACTATTTTTATTTTCTGTAATCAATAAACCAGTTTTTGTTTTCAAAGATATACTTGTCCTCTTATGATTTTTTTTAAGGATAAGTTGGTGGCAGCAGAGGTTTTTGAAGTGAAGTAGCAACCACTCTGTGAAGTGTGAGGGTGGCTGTTACAGTCGAGTTTGACAAACCATGAATTTAATAATGTTTTATTGATGAACCAGTCCTTGTCAGTCCTTGTTTGTTTTTTAGACAGCACATGGCTGTCTGTCTAAAAAAAAGCTGAATCCCCCCATGGCCTGATCCTGCTCCCTTCCCACTGCACCATCACCTCCCTACCTTGTCCTGCTGCCTCTGCCACCACCTCCATAATACCACCTCTGATGCTGCTGCCGTGTTCATGGCTTCTGTTCCTACAGACCAGTCTTTCTCTCTCTGCCTATGAGCCCGCCAATCAGCTGTTCGGCAAGCCCACAGAAAGAGAGAGAAGGCTAGGCTGCTGGAATGGAAGCCCCTATTCTGACAGACTAATCTTCCCTCTCCTCCTATGAATTAAAGACAGGTAAATATTTGTCCCTTCATATTCACTGGGGTCTCCACAACTGACAAATACGAAATGATGGATATTTGGTGAATCAGCTATTTTTTTTCCATATATTGCAGTTCATTTTTTAATTTATCCACACGTGTAGTTACCACTTGAATCACCAAGGGGAACTTTGGAAAAACTATTCAATTTCTCCATAGAAATAAAAGTATTCCAATACACACAGGAAATCCATTTTTAAAAACTCTCTTAATGAATTAGGCTGAATGGAAATCAAGATTATTCCCACCTAATGTGTCCCTCAAACCCTTCTTAAGCCATCCTCTGTTTTTCAACAATGATTGACTGCAGTTTACAGACTGGAAGAAAATGAGTTCTTTTACCTCTGATGTTTTCTCAAGTCACACATGAAAAACCAGGATTCAACTTTCAACCAGGATTCACCCAAGATCAAGCTGAGGCACCAGACTAAGCTGCATTCACCCTCTTCAGGAATAATGGACACATCAGCAAAAGAGAATGAATAATTCCAGAGGTGATGGGGGCAGCTACTGGGCAGCAGCAGTAGCTGAAGGTGACATTGGCAGAGGAGGCAACAGTGCTAACATCAAGATAACTTTTGTTAGTACTGTGCAGAGGAAGGCAGTGGGTTAACCACTACTGGCTAGAGTGCACAGAGTTGAAAGAAAAATCTGATGCTGCACAACTCATAAAATTGGAATGTGGAATGTGAGAAGTATGAATCAAGGTAAATTGGAAAAAATAAATGAAGAAATGGAATGTGTGCTTTGTTTCAGTGAACTGAACTGGATTAGAATGAGATATTTTTGAATAGAAATATTTTATCACTTCATAGCCTATCAGGTTTACCCACAAAAAGAAATTAAACCACTCTTAAAAGATACTATTTGACATCTAATACAAATACATATAAACAATTAAAATGCATAAAATAAATGTGACACACAAGGGATACTTTCCATCAGACAACTACAAAGTGTTCTAGTCTCAAAATGACAAATTCTGAAGAAAAACATTGGCTCCAATACTTAGACAAGATGTAGCACAGGCAGTTAGGGGCTATGATTCAGCATCTGAGTGAATAAAAATCCATCAGACTTCTGGGAAAACCTATCAACATAACCATCATTCAGGTCTATGTTGTAAATACAGAAGAAGATTAAATTGAAAGCTTTTATGTAAACATGCAGAAGCCTTCGCGAATACATGCAGAAAGAAATTGATCACACTAAAATAAGAAACACTTTTAATCATAGGTGATTGGAATGCAAAAGTAGTAAACAAGGCAGAAACAAATGCTGTTCGAAAATTTAGTCTAGAGGACAGAAATGAAGCAGGAGAATGATTCACAGAGATCTGTGAACCCAACAATCTATTTATTTGCAAATGCATGCTTCAAGCAACAGAATAAACTATTTTTGAAGCCATTTCACTCCCTTGCTTTAATCATTCTGTGGAAGATCTTCCATCTTAATTAGCTGCTTACTAGCCATACTCACTAAACAAGTGAAGCTCTTTCACATTCAGGGGTGAATGCCAGCCTTGCCCATATCCTTTGTTCCGTTCAGTACATGAAAGTGACAGTGTGAAGATGGGTGGGTGTGTGCTGTATCTAAGTAGCCTTTCCACATTAGCCAGTAGCCTCCACTCCAAATTATGGCTCTGGGGTTGAAGTGGAACAGGCCACACAGACATAGCAGCCTCCTTTATTCTATTCTATTTATTTTATTTATATCCCGCCTATCTAGTCGCGAAGGACTACTCTAGGCGGCTTATGTTACCCTCAATGTGTGGGCTCCTTACATTTAGATAACAAGTGACCAGGTCCTCTTCATTGTACAAAATCAGGTTACTGAAAATATTGGGGACATGATAGAACTTCTCAGGAGATGGACAGAATACTCATAAACATTCAGCTATTCCATCAGCTTTGCCAATACATATCAAGCCTTCATCAAGGCCACCATCCCCAGTATTGGTGCAACTAGTGCCAATATATATATTTTGATGCCAAAAAAGATAGTTATTTCTTAGGAAGAAGTGTAGGGCAGTGATCTATTAGTGATCTAGCAAAACAAATTAACATATTTTAGTGGACTACATCTGAAATGATATAACTCACCTGTCCAGGTTGCAGCAATTGCCCATGGCTGTCATGGAGGACATAACCTTTTTCACAAGTAATTTCACATTCCATGCGGCCTTGGTGGCTGTCACTGCAATTGGTGGCATCAGCATGAGGGATAAGTGGCAGCACACAGGTAACATGCTCTTCACAACTACTCTGGATGCAGCTGTGGAGACAGAGAGTAAAGGGAAGCAAACTGTGGCTTTCTTTGTGGCAGGACAGGGAGAGAGCATATGCTTTGCAACACAACTATAAGAAATAAAAGGTTATGAATGAAGCACATTATTGTATTGCACTCTGGGTTTTGGAACAGTTCCCTTCCTTTGGGTCTGACTTATAGCAAAGATGCATATGTTTACACAACCACTTTGAAAAAGCTGACAATACAGAAAGACACATCTCTTAAAAGTCAGACTTATCCTTATTCATGTCCTCCAAGCAAGATGATATTCTGTGCCCTGAAAAAAAGTAATGCCTGTATAGTCTACATTCCTCAAAGATAAAATAAACAATAGCAATTTTGCTAAAATGTTCATCTTTATTATCAAGATTCATCCCATCATTGAGATTTGTAGTTTATTCCAATCTTCCAAATCTCTCTGTATTTCTTTCTGGATTGAGAGACAATTTTCTTTCATCAAATTACTTGTCTTTTTTGTAATAGTGACTCCTAAACATTTAACCTTTTCTACCTCCTTAAACTCCTTCATGGATTGCTGCCTTGTCGTGGCAAAGGGGCTTGAGTAACTCAGAGAAGCTATGGGCTATGTCGTGCAGGGACACCCAAGATGGACAGGACATAGTGGAGAGTTCCGACTAAACGCAATCCACCTGGAGTAGGAAATGGCAAGCCACTCCAGTATCTTTGCCAAGAACGCCCCATGATCAGAAACAAAAGGCTAAAAGATATGACGCTGGAAGATGGGCCCCTCAGGTCGGAAGGCGTCCAACATGCTACTGAGGAAGAGTGGAGGACAAGTACAAGTAGCTCCAGAGCTAATGAAGTGGTTGGGCCAAAGCCGAAAGGACGCTCAGCTGTGGACGTGCCTGGAAGTGAAAGGAAAATCCAATGCTGCAAAGAAGAATACTGCATAGGAACCTGGAATGTAAGATCTATGAACGTTGGGAAGCTGGAGGTGGTCAAACAGGAGATGGCAAGAATAAACTTTGACATCCTGGGCATCAGTGAACTAAAATGGACAGGAATGGGCGAATTCAGCTCAGATGATTATCATATCTACTATTGTGGGCAAGAATCCCGTAGAAGGAATGGAGTAGCCCTCATAGTCAACAAAAGAGTGGGAAGAGCTGTAATGGGATACAATCTCAAAAATGATAGAATGATGTCAATACGAATCCAAGGCAGACCTTTCAACATCACAATAATCCAAGTTTATGCACCAACCAGCATTGCTGAGGAGACTGAAATTGAACAATTCTATGAAGATTTACAACACCTTCTAGAACTGACACCAAAGAAAGATGTTCTTCTCATTCTAGGGGACTGGAATGCTAAAGTAGGGAGCCAAGAGATAAAAGGAACAACAGGGAAGTTTGGCCTTGGAGTTCAGAACGAAGCAGGACAAAGGCTAATAGAGTTTTGTCAAGAGAATAAGCTGGTCATCACAAACACTCTTTTCCAACAACACAAGAGGCGACTCTATACATGGAAATCACCAGATGGGCAATATCGAAATCAGATTGATTATATTCTCTGCAGCCAAAGATGGAGAAGCTCTATACAGTCAGCAAAAACAAGACCTGGAGCTGACTGCGGTTCTGATCATCAGCTTCTCATAGCAAAATTCAAGCTTAGACTGAAGAGATTAGGAAAAACCACTGGGCCACTCAGGTATAATCTAAACCAAATCCCTTATGAATACACAGTGGAAGTAAAGAACAGATTTAAGGAACTAGATTTGGTGGACAGAGTGCCTGAAGAACTTTGGATAGAGGCTCGTAACATTGTCCAGGAGGCAGCAACGAAAACCATCCCAAAGAAAAGGAAATGCAAGAAAGTAAAGTGGCTGTCCAACGAGGCCTTAGAAATAGCAGAGAGGAGAAGGGAAGCAAAATGCAAGGGAGATAGGGAAAGTTACAGAAACTTGAATTCAGACTTCCAAAGAATAGCAAGGAGAGACAAGAGGGCCTTCTTAAATGAACAATGCAAAGAAATAGAGGAAGATAACAGAAAAGGAAAGACCAGAGATCTGTTCAGGAAAATTGGACATATTAGAGGAACATTTTGCGCAAAGATGAACATGATAAAAGACAAAAATGGGAGGGACCTAACAGAAGCAGAAGACGTCAAGACGAGGTGGCAAGAATACACAGAGGAATTATATCGGAAAGATTTGGATATCCCGGACATCGCAGACAATGTAGTTGCTGACCTTGAGCCAGACATCCTGGAGAGTGAAGTCAAGTGGGCCTTAGAAAGCCTGGCTAACAACAAGGCCAGTGGAGGTGATGGCATTCCAGTTGAACTATTTAAAATCTTGAAAGATGATGCTGTTAAGGTGCTACATTCAATATGCCAGCAAGTTTGGAAAACTCAACAGTGGCCAGAGGATTGGAAAAGATCAGTCTACATCCCAATCCCAAAGAAAGGCAGTGCCAAAGAATGCTCCAACTACCGTACAATTGCACTCATTTCGCACGCTAGCAAGGTTATGCTCAAAATCCTGCAAGGTAGGCTTCAGCAGTATGTGGACCGAGAACTCCCAGAAGTACAAGCTGGATTCCGAAGAGGCAGAGGAACTCGAGACCAAATTGCTAACTTGCGCTGGATTATGGAGAAAGCCAGAGAGTTCCAGAAAAATATCTACTTCTGCTTCATTGACTATGCGAAAGCCTTTGACTGTGTGGACCACAGCAAACTATGGCAAGTTCTTAAAGAAATGGGAGTGCCTGACCACTTTATCTGTCTCCTGAGAAACCTATATGTGGGACAGGAAGCAACAGTTAGAACTGGTCATGGAACAACTGAGTGGTTCAAAATTGGGAAAGGAGTACGGCAAGGCTGTATATTGTCCCCCAGCTTGTTTAACTTATATGCAGAATACATCATGCGGAAGGCTGGACTGTAAGAAACCCAAGCCGGAATTAAGATTGCCGGAAGAAATATCAACAACCTCCGATATGCAGATGATACCACTCTGATGGCGGAAAGTGAGGAGGAACTAAAGAACCTTGTAATGAGGGTGAAAGAGGAGAGTGCAAAAAACGGTCTGAAACTCAATATCAAAAAAACTAAGATCATGGCCACTGGTCCCCTCACCTCCTGGGAAATAGAAGGGGAAGATATGGAGGCAGTGTCAAATTTTATCTTCCTGGGCTCCATGATCACTGCAGATGGAGACAGCAGCCCTGAAATTAAAAGGCGCCTTCTTCTTGGGAGGAAAGCGATGACAAATCTTGACAGCATCTTGAAAAGCAGAGACATCACCTTGCCAACAAAAGTCCGAATAGTCAAAGCTATGGTTTTTCCTGTCGTGATGTATGGAAGTGAGAGCTGGACCATAAAGAAAGCAGACCGCCGAAGAATTGATGCCTTTGAATTGTGGTGCTGGAGGAGGCTCTTGAGAATCCCCTGGACTGCAAGGAGAACAAACCTATCAATTCTAAAGGAAATCAACCCTGAGTGCTCACTGGAAGGACAGATCCTGAAGCTGAGGCTCCAGTACTTTGGCCATCTCATGAGAAGAGAAGACTCCTTGGAAAAGACCTTGATGTTAGGAAAGTGTGACGGCAAGAGGAGAAGGGGACGACAGAGGATGAGATGGCTGGACAGTATCTGCGAAGCAACCAACATGAATTTGACACAACTCCGGGAGGCAGTGGAAGATAGGAGGGCCTGGCGTGCTCTGGTCCATGGGGTCACGAAGAGTCGGACATGACTAAACGACTAAACAACTAAACGACTAAGACGACCTCCTTAAAACAAGTTTTTATTATCAGTTTTTCCAACTCCTCTCTATTCATATTTTCAGTCAGAAATTTCATTTTTTGGTAATTTATTTTAAGTCATGCCACAGCTCCAAACTCTATTGTTCCCAATAGTTCTTCCATACTGTCCAGGGGATTTATACATACATATAAACTTTATTGTTTCTGGCCATAGACCTTTACAATGTACTGACTACTGTAGCAGATAAAATCCAATTAAAACAGGTAATTACCTTAAAAC